CCTTCCTTTTTCTTCTTTCTTTCTTTCTTTCTTTCTTTCTTTCTTTCTTTCTTTCTTTCTTTCTTTCTTTCTTTCTTTCTTTCTTTCCCTCTATTTTTTTTATTTATTCAATTAATACATGCAAACAACAACAACTCTCAAACTAAGACCTCTGGTGGAGTTAAGCCAACCTTTCATGTGGTTATTATGCTAAACCACATTCCCGATTTGCATTAACCCAGCAGCCTCATTTCACACAGCACGGTAAGCCGCAGAAAAGTTAACCGAGCACCATCCGGTTAATGGTGCTTTGCGAATCTAGGCCATTTCCGAGCCTACGGGACTGTTTCTGTGTGTATTCTGCCTCAAACTGGCAGCAAAACATGCAGCTTAGAGATGCATGGACTGAGCCCCTAAACTCAGCTCAGCACGGTGTGCACACACAGCTCCTGACTGCCTTCTCGGCCTCAATCACGGCTCTCCCATGATAAAAAATAAAAAAAAACAACGGGAGGGTTTGCATGTGCGTTTGGATGAGATGACACTCACCCCTCTTCCTTCTCAGTGGATTCTGAAGGTTTTTTAATTTAAGGGTGGGCTCTTTGGAATCTGCCGGGGATCCGGAATCTTTTGCAAACGGGATGCTGAGATTCGTCACTGGCTTGGGCGATTTCTTCTTCTTCTTCTTTTTCTTCTTCTTCTTCTTCTCCTTCTCCTTCTTCTTGTTGTTCTCCATGATGCAATGGATCTTCAGAGGGGACCACTTCTTCGTACTTGCCCCAAGGATCCGGCTGGATTTTCTCTTACTCCACTGCAAGGGCCGGTCTCCTCCCAGGCTGCTTTTCAGCGCGGCCTCTCGGCCGGGCACGTGCCCAGCAAGGGGATCCCTGCCCGTCCCAACAGCCTTGTCTAGTCCACCCGAAGGCAAAGGGTCAGGACTGAAATCCGCTTCCGCGGCGCAACCGTCGGGAAACTGAGCGCTGCCCTTCAAGCACGCCACGGCTGACGAGACCTTGAGGGTGTAGCTTTGGGGGTCCGACAGGTAAAACTGGAGGTCGGAAAACGAGGCCGGGGAGCACTTTTCGTCCAAAGCGTCCTGCTCGGGGCTCTCTGGCAAAAGAAGGCGAGCAAAGGGCGGGACGTCCGCATTTTCGCAGCTCGGCCCCGAACTCTGGTTGAGCTTTGCAAATTCCTGCATGTGCCGTTTTACCAAAGCGCTAGAAGGGGCTGGTTTTGGATCCAGATGTTTGGCTGCTTCTGCCAACGCGCGCTGAAGGAGAGGAAGGACCAGGGGGACCTGCTGGGGACTCTCGCTTCTCTCCTCTTCTTCACATTTCCAGTCTCTTGCTAATGAAAAAGAAGAGCCGTTTACAAGCAACGTAGGTCATTTCCAACAAAATAAACGACGTCCTGAACCTGCCGCTTTTCTAAAAGGTTCAAGAAGACTGCCGGAGTTGTCTGTGCATGTCGTTTGCAATTTCCCTTTATTTTAGGAAGAAAATCCCACAAAGGGACAGAGGTAAATGAAATTTGCCTGTTTTGTTGCCACACTTACACCTCGAATAAGTTACAAGGCACATTTCTCAGGGAATGACATTACAGTGCTATTAAAGATTGACGCGGCTTTTTCCAGCCTATCTTTTATTTTATTCACTGAGAAATACATAGCCTGCTTTTCTAAGTGGGTCCTCCCCGTTCAGGGCGGCAAGCAAAAGGGGAAAGCAATATAATTGTGACATTGTTAGAGCGGTGATTCTCAGCCTCAGCAACTTTAAGACAGGTGGGACTTTAATTTCCCAAATTCCCACCCCCACGACCT